AGCTCCCCCTCCGCCGGGCCCCCAGCCCAGCTCCTTACGTAACCTCGGGGACCCCGGGCCACGGCGCCGTATGCGGCTTACCCCCTTCCCTCGCCCCGCCACGCGGCAGCTTCCGCTCTTTTGGGCAACCCTCTTTCTCCTCACCAACCCCGCACTGGCGCGCCCCGCCCCTAGCCGTCCCGGGGGTCTGGCGCTGCGCCCTAGCATCCCGCCTGCTGAACTGCAAGTCCCACTCGCAGCTGCTAGGGACTCCGGAGCTACCTTTACTTTGCAGATGAAGGAACTGAGGCCAGGGAAGGGTGATTTGCCCAAGGTCACACGTTCACATAGAGCCCGGGTCTCCAGAATCTGAGATGGGCATGGCCATGCCCTCCCTTGAAGCCCATCTTCACCTTCCTGCACATTGCCAGGCCGGGTGGACTTAGCGCGGCAGCCACCATGAAATTCCCAAAGCCGACGTGGCAGGAAGGATCTAGCCTACAACCCACAGCAGGTGCTTTTGGCTCTTGCCTGGATGAAGATGGATGGGGGCGCCCAAGAGGAGTGCCACCAGTTTTATTAAAGCTCAAACTGGGCTTTATTCTTAGAGCAAAGAAAACTGGGATAGCAAAAGTGGAACTTGAAGAAGAGCAGGCTCTGTTAATCCCATTTACATCTATCAGGTCCCGCATCCCCTTCCATAGGCACTGGCACTAACCTAACTTTCCTTCCCCCCTGGCTTCCACAGGATCATCTGCTGAGAACAGACTGCCCAGAGTAAAAATTCACAGGACAAGCAGATAGCGAGGAGGGCCACCACTCCAACCCTGTCCTTACCTCTGATTCCCTCACAGGGGCACCAGCCCTCTCCTAGTCTGTGCGTCACACTGTGGTCAGTAATTTCTTGAATAAGTATCTGATTGAGTTACTCTTTTGTATAAAATTCTTCAGTGGCTTTCTTCCCACTGTCCTTGGGATACGGAGCAAAATACTGAACATGCCAGTCAATATATTATAGATGTTTTTATTGCTGGCTGTAATGGTGGAACTAGGGCAAACATTTTATTCTTTTATCGTGATTGAATACAGTAGTAATGGGACTTACGTAACCAACATTTTACAATTTAGCAGAGTCAATCTGAAGATTCTGAAACTCTGCCACCACCATGGAAACAATTCATGTATTTCCTGCCAGACAAGGCCTTATCCAGGGCTCTCCAAGCTGCAAGATCCCTCTGCAGGGCACTTGAGGGGCTGTCTCTTTAAGATGACCCCAGGTCAATATGGGACTTCAGCTCCAGTCCCATCTATTTCCAATCTAGTCAAGGACCTTGTCTCAAAAAGGTGAGCTATAAACAATTTCTAGTAGTCCCTGCTGTCCTCTGCCTTCCCCATCCTGGGCTTTCCTAAGTCTGTCTGTCCCAGATACTTCCAGTGATTTTGATACCACTCATCCATGTTTAAATGTTTTTGTTTAGAGATGGAGTCTAGCTATGTTGCTCAGCCTGGTCTCAAGTGATCCTCCCAACTCACCCTCCCAAAGTGTTGATATTATAGGCGTGAGCCACCATGCCCAGCCCATTTATTTAATCGTAAGTGAGGGCCTATTCTAAGTCAGTCTGTGTCCTAAAACAGTGAGAAAAATATAATATAACCAAGGTGTGAATGAAGTACTAGGAAATGCTGACTCTGCCTACACAAGGTTTCAAAAAGGGAACGTGTGAGCTGGGTCCTACAGGATGTGCAGAGGGAAGGCCTTTTCCAGCAAATAGACCAGCACAGGCTGAGGCACAAGAGCATCAAAGGGCATGAGTCACACAGGGAATAACAAGAGCATCCATGTGGTTGGCTCCAAGTGTGTGGCAGGATGTAGCTGAGGACCAAAGGGAAGTGGGGCCACACTGTGGAAGACCTTGGGGGTCATGTTAAGGAGTTTGGATCTGATTCTGAGGGCCACAGGGAGCTCGTGCAGGTTTTGAAGTAGGAGGGTGTGGGGAGAATGTTCTTAAATGACAGAAACTGGAGGCAGGAGAAGCTTGCTAGGAAGATCTGAGTGAGACATCCCCAGGAAGGTGGGAGCCTCTGCAGTACAGGGACTTGGGAAGCACAGCTGCTGAGTGAGGACAACCAAACAACCCAGCAATCTTGAGGAGAGATCTTGAACCTGCTGGCTATCTCTGAGGAGAATTCAACTGTAAGAGGCAAAAACAGAAATGACCACACAAGTAGCCCAGCCAACTGCCAGAGCCCCAGTGTATCCAGGCCACACTGCTGCTCAGCACCCTCACTGCTCCTCTTGGTTGCATGAACAGGTGAGTCTCCTCCACTAGACGGAGGTCTTCAAGCACAGGGTCCTCCTGGATTATTCTTGTTCTGTGTGGGCTCCATGCTCAGCTAAGCTCTCTTCTGGACTTCACTCTCACAGAAAGTCTAGCAAATTCCTAAATAGGTCAAACCAAAGTCTCAGAATGGAGTGTTGCTTTGTCTGACTGGCCTACCTTGGGGCACAAGTCCATTCCTGAGCCCATGGCTGTGGCTGGAGGAAAGAAATGCTTTGATTGGCTTAGTCTGGCTACGTGCAGCCCTGGGATGAAGCATGGAGCATCTTCCCACAGAGGGTACGGGCAGGGTTAGGACTGGGGCAGACATCCGAAGGAAAATCAAGTAAATAAAATACAGGGTGGTGGCCAAAACAACAGATGCCCATTGTAAGCACATAGTGACATTTGTTTCCCAATCCTAGGCCCAGAGTAGATGGATCAATTGTTGGATGAGAGACCTTTAAGAATATGGTAGGGGCATCCCAGATTGAGCTATTCTGGGAGAACTTCAAAGGGCCAGTCTGGAGAGCTGGAGAGTGAGTGAAACCCTGAGGATCTAGGTCCAGACAGTGGAAATACATGCTCTAAACCATAGTTCTCAACCGTGGCGGAACACAAAGATCACCCAAGGGAGCCAGGCCCTGCCTCCAAAGAGAATGACTTAACCTAACCAGTCTGGGTAGGCCCCAGCAACAGTGACTCTTTAAACTCTCCAGATTCCAACATGCAGCCAAGGTTGAGAACCACTGCCCTAAGCCTCATGGCACCCAAAGAAAAGTAGATCCAGAGAGATCCAGATCCCTGGAATTGGGAACTAGAGGGAACAAAAAGGAACATATCCTAGTTCATTGGCTGGGCTTTCATGAGTGTTAGGGCTCTGGAGAACTGAGAAATCCAAGGAATCTATGTGGCCAAGGAGGTGCAATGCCTCCTGTGAGCACCAGGGAGGAGGGATTGACTCTGAAGCCTGCTAGCTCTCTCTGAGTGATTATTCGCCTCTAATTTTTTATTTTTTATTTATTTATTTTGAGACAGAGCCTCAAGCTGTCGACTTGGGTAGAGTGCCATGGTATCACAGCTCATAGCAACCTCCAACTCCTGGGCTCAAGCGATTCTTCTGCCTCTGCCTCTCAAGTAGCTGGAACAACAGGCACCTGCCACAACACCTGGCTATTTTTTGGTTGCAGCCATCATTGTTGTTTGGCAGGCCCAGGTTCTAACTCGCTAGCTCAGGTGTATGTGGCTGGCGCCTTAGCCACTTGAGCCACAGGCACCGAGCCAGCCTCTGATTTTTTAGAGATTGGGTCTTGCTGTGTTGCCCAGGCAGGTCTTGAACTCCTGGCCTCAATCTATTCTTTTGACTTAGCAAAAGTTCTGTGGATTATTTGCCTCTGATTGGCAGCCCCAGAACAGAGAGTTACTTGGAATAGCAAGGATGTATCGAGTCTAGGCAAATGGGGACAGACTTCAGAGCTGTGCCTAAGGTGGACTCAACAATATTAAGAATGAGTTAAGAAGAGGGTGGAGTCCTGTGGAGTGCTGAGGCTTTCCACTGGGATGTTGGGCAGAGGGCAAAACCTCTTAAGAACGTGTAGAGTCCAGGAGGGCAAGATGAGCACGATGTCAGACATGCTGAGATGCAGAGAAGAGATGTCTGGAGACTGGTATATATTACACAGCTCAGAAGGGAGACTTGGGAGCCATCAGCAAGTCAGTATCTGAACCCAGGAAGAGGATGTTGAACAAACAGGTGGGGTTGAGGAAGATATTAAAGAAATCACCGGGGGAGGACAGGGAGCCTGTGAAGATGAAAGAATGGCCATTAATTTCCAGAGGGGGGGCAATCTCTTTTAGGTGTGGATCAACCTCCCTTGAGCTGATATAGCTGAATCAAATATCAGCTTATAAAGTGACATATAACTCTTTGCCAGTAAAGTAAAAGCAAACAAAACCAAACGGGGTGCACAGTGGCTCATACCTGTAATCCCAACACTTTGGGTAGCCAAGGCAAAAGGATGGATTGAGGCCAGTAGTTCAAAACCAGCCTGGGCAACATAGCACTAGAGCCAGTCTCTAAAAAAAATTAGCCAGCTGTGGTGGGGCACAATTAGCTGTGGTAGTGGCTGTGGTAGTCCCAGCTACTCAGGAGGCTAAGGCAGGAGGATCAGTTGTTAAGCCCAAGAGGTGGAGGTCACAGTGAGCTAGGATCACCATGCTGCACTCTTGCCTGGGTGACAGAATGTGAGACCTTGTCGCAAACAAACAGCAATTAAAACAAAATAGAAACAAGTGGGTTTTTAATTCATTTCAACTTAGCAAATATTTACTGAATGCCTACTATGCACCAGACTAGCTGCAGATGGCTTGGCTGGCATGGTTAGCCCATCAGACACATGGCCTTACTCCTACTCTCTTCCCCAGCCCCATCTGGGAGGCCTCAATTGTCCTGGTTCCTAGA